AATAGCTGGGAACCACACAGCCAGTGGACTCTGCTGCCCAGCCTTTGGAGCTGGGCCTAGCCTTGCTAGGCTCAGCTTCTCCTGCAACTTTGAGCAGCACATGCAGAGAGAGGCCAGTGATTATTCTCTTGTAACACGTGAGGGGACAAAGTTGTTGCCTTCCTACAGAGGCCTCCCTACACCCACCATCCCTCATCCCCTCACTGGGAGGGGCCTTGCTCCCTCTAGAAGGGCTGGCCTGGGCTCTACTGGTTTCAAGTCTTGTCTGACTCCAAGTCTGCTTGACTGTCCATGGCCGTAAGGACTGGTGCTGGGCACCAGGACTGAGATAGGAGTCCCAGATATTGCCTTGGATGGTCTATTCCATTAAATCAATAACCAGGAACCACTATTTGTAAGACAATGAGGATATCCTCTTCTTAAGACCCTGTTGGAGAAGCAGCAGAACTGGATGTGAGGTCCCCGAAGCTGAATTTGGTAGTCTTGAGACCCAGTATGGTAAGACCTTTACCAGGGACACGTAACTGGGCTCACTCAGTTTGTACAGACCTAGTGGAGTTCCCCTTAAGCCTGAGAGGCCACTGGAGACTAAAGTCTGGTTATATGCTGTATAAGCTGGGTAAATGCCATTTGGAACAGAGGCCTGCAGCTGATCCAGAGTAAACAAAACCTGAGTCTGTAACGGATTCTGAAAAATGTAGAATCCTAGAAGCAAAAATTGCTAATAAGAAAGTTAGTGAGTATATACTATGTCCGGGCTCTATTCTAAGCAATGTGCACGCGACACTTCATTTAAACCTCACAGCAACCTGAGGAGGTAGATAATCTTATTATTCCTATTTTATAGAAAAAGAAACTAAGACATAAAAATGTTAAGTAACTTGTCTATGGTCAAAGAATTAGGGAGTGAGAGAGGTGAGTCTCAGAGTCTGACAGTCTGATTCAGAGCTTGTACTCAATCACTACACATGCTGCTTGATAAAGAGAAAAGAAAACACTCTTTCTAAGCAGAACTGGCTTTATGGAAGTGTGATCAGTGCAGTGGTACAGGGCCCTGAGCTCAGAGGGGTTTGCACTGGGGTTTAATGCCACTGTCTTAAATTTTTCATAATTTGAATTTGAGCTTTGTATGTGACATCCAAAAGGTGATGAAACAATACACTGGGAGCTTGGAGTCTCTGCTCACATGCAGTCTCATCTTTCACTGCCTCTCCATCTCCCTGGAACAAATTCTTGGCTGCCCCCTCCCCTGCCCCTTAGTACCCAGGCCTCCACCCAGCCTCTTCCTCTCTGTCCCACTCAGTGACCACTGCAACCCTCCCCACTCAGAGGCCTGGGCATGGACCCAGGGATGATTGGGGTCAGGCACAAGTGCCCTGCAACATCTCAGGGTAAGACTGGTGACAGCCATCCTGGCCCCAGGGTAGTAGTGCCATGGTGCATTTGGCAAATGACTCAGAAGGGCTTATTGTCCACCCTGATCCAGGTACCTGGTGCATCCTGGTGCAGAGGTTGCAATACTCTTGGTTACTTGTCCGCCGGCGGTTGGAGCAGCCAGCCCTTGGGAAGGCGATATGCCTAGCTTGACTTATTTGCTCTTTACCAGGGTACAATGCATCTGTCCAATAGTTGGTGGGAGGAGGAACCCGGCAGGCAGTGGACCATATGCATGTGCATCAAGTAATTGGGTGGGGTCAGTGGGCACCTGTGAGGATCTACACTTGCTCCGCAAGTATCCCTGTGCTTGAGAGGGTGTGACATTAAATAGCAAATTTAAAATACCATGACAGGTTGAGAGAGAGACTGTAGTAGAAAGGAAAACACTTTATATTTGACTACCTTTACTGGCACTTATCCTGCTTTTTGAACAAGGGACTTCACATTTACATTTTGCACTGGGCCTATAAATTATATAGCCAGTCCTGACTGCGAGGACTATTATCTTGGTATCTCCTGAGATCTACCACTTCCTGTACAGAAATGATGAAAACGGATGAGGTTGTAGCTGCCTCTAGTCTTGCTGGGGCTGTTTAGAGGATAGGGGACACTTCTACTTGCCAAGGAGATAGATGATAGGAGATAGTTCAGTCTTATGAGGCCTATTTCATTCCACCCTCCCAGTTGCAAGTACCTCACATCATGAGAGGGGCCTAAGAGAATGTGCTAGTAGACGATATTCTGGGGTATGAATCAGCAGACTTGAATTCTATATCTGCCTCTGCCACAGGCCAGCTGAGTGATCTCAAGAATGTTGCTCTTCCGTGGGGACACTATTTCCTCATATATGAAAAGAGCAGTTTCAATTAACCTAGTGTTTTCAGACTGTCTTGAGTGTCTAGAGAAGTACCTCAGAAAGAGAGAGATAAGTGCTAGGCAGCGGGGCTACAGTCACCTCAGACTTTTTTTCAGCCAAACCTATTCCACTTTTATGTTTTATATATTTTTGTTCTACATTGGAATTCACTTAAAGAAATCATTCCAATGCTTAAAAAATTAAAACCCATCATGCTTGATGATTTCTCTGGGCCCTACTATGTCTCACTTATGATTCTGAGAGTCTTTAACCTTAAATCCCACAAAGAGGATGGTCTTTATTCCAGGAAGAAATTTGCCATGTGCTTGGGTCAGTTACCAGAGAAGAGCAAAACTCCGGGAAGGACAAGAGGTTGGAGGGCAAATGCCTGGGTGGTATAGAGCTGAAAAGTATGGACAATGAAGAAGAGGTTCAGGTTCCCTACTGTGGGTTGAGTGTCAACAAGAAACATCCTCAAAACCAGGAGATTCAGCTAGAAGCTTGTGCCTCAGGAGGTAAGATTTTCTACCTTTCCCCCATTACACCATAGGATATAATAATGCCTTGTGGACAAAATGGACTGAACAAGAAAAGAGTTTAGTTGCAAGTGACTTTCAACTTTGTTAATGTTTTTTGAGCCTTTATCAGGTACCCTATGCTAGACCCAAGGTGGGAGATGAAAAATTAATCAAATATCGCTCCATCCTTCCAAAGAGTTTCGGTGTAGGTGAGCAAAACAGAAATTCTGAAAAACACACAGAATATTTTAGAAAAGGCCAAGTGTTATAATGCTACAACAGAGGTGCAAAGTACAATGGGAAAACAGGGTATGAATACTCACTTCCATCTGAAACATCAGGAAAAGCTATCCGGAAAAGAAGATGGGATTTATGTCTGGACTTTAAAAAATGAATAGGACTTGGACAGACAGGACATGGAGAGCTTTGCATGCCAAATTTAGGAGTTTGGAATTTATCTTATAGGCAAAGAGAGACATGGAAAAGTTTTAAGCAATGTGGAGGGTGGGAGAAGGCTGATCTGGTTGGATTTACATTTAAACCACTGTGGCTGTTATGTGAAAAGTAGATTTAATAGGATCCAGGGTGGATTCAAAGAGAAGGGATAAAAGACTATTTTGCTAATCCAGGAGAGAAAGGAGTATGCCGTGATCCAGGACAGTGCCAGTATTAGTGGAGAAGAAACTAATTCAAGAGGCATTTGGGAGGGAGAATTGACAGGATTTGGTAATTGATTGAATATAGGGAGTTGAGGTGGAGGGAAGTGTCAAGGAGTGACTCTTAGGTTTTGGGTTTAATAAACTGGTGGTGCCACTCACTTAGATAGGGGATGGGGAAGAGGAGGAGCAGGTTTAGAAGAGTTCAGTATTTGAACGTTAAGTTTGAAGTGCCTCAGGGACTTCCAAGTTGAGGTTCCAGCTGGTAGCTGGATATAAGGATCTGGAGCTCTCAGGGAATTGGTTTTCACATGGCTACTAAGTAAACCACACTCCCTTACAACGGGCTTAGGAGTCCTTGGCAGATGGCTACTAAGGCTAGACAGTTTCTGAGATTAGGGCAGAAGCAAAACTATTCTGGGGGCCCAAAAATTGTGTTTGACCTAGATGTAGCTAAATACTACATTCTGTTTTTCCTTGCAGCTTGAGCCAATTCGATTATTTTTCCCCAACTAATTGTATGATATTGGTCACTTTCTGTTCTCTAGGCCTTGGTTTCCTCATCTATGAAAGTAAGATATTAAAGTTTTATATTCTTCAGATATAGGATTTTATTCTTTTACAGATAGCCTGTTGTTCAATATATTTAGACAAGATAGCAATATCCACAAATTTCGTGCATCTTTTCAAATTATGAGGACTAGCCATGGACTAATAAATTAATTGGGGTTCTACTTACACTTATGTTGCCTGTTGGAAGTATATTCAGGAATACCAATGGACTTGGCTCAGATCCATTCAAAATTTGCATACAAAAAATCAGAGCTATAATTCAGGTTTGGAGTTCCCACCAATCGATAATTCATTGTCCCTTACAAAGGGTATTCAAATTCTATTCTAATTAGTGAACCCAATCTTTTATTTGGCTATCACTCTCTTTAAGATTTATCCCTATAAATCTCAATAATTGCACATATGAATTTATATATAGGCTTACATTTTACAGTCTTACAGTGGCAGTGATGGTACAGCATTTGGAAAGCACACATCTAGGAGTCCTCTGAATCCTTATGAAAGATATGGACTGAACTTAATTCAGCCTAAGGGACACGAAGTAAATCCTCGATATAATCACATGAGTGGTAAAGCAAAAAAGTTTGCACCCCAGTTGCCATCCATGTTCTCTTCTACAACTTATAGTCAAATTATATTGTTTTCTAACCTTGTTATCTCAGAATTATTTTAAGTCATGACTAGTGTTATACCAGTTCACAACTCAGATTGACATATTCATGACCACATACATATTTCCTTCTCTTAAAATATTTCTTATCAGATAGTTGTTTCAGAAAATACACAGTATTTTGTCCATATAATTTCCTCCTATTGTCTTGCTGTTTATCTAAACAACTACTTCTAAACACTTAGCCAGAGCAGCTCAATTGTTCTTACAAGGCAAGGAAAACATTGTAAATAGAACTGTGAGCAAATCTTTATAGAACATATTACATTCTTGAGACACAGAATGGAATATTAGGGACTCTGCCTCAGTATTTTCCATAGAGCATCTTGCACTTCCTGGTTTCTCAAACTGTAGATGAGAGGATTAAACATGGGGATCACCATTGTATAAAACACTGAGACCAACTGATTTCCTGCCCGGGATCCATGTCGAGATGGCTGCAAGTAAGTATACATAGTTGTTCCATAGTACAGGCCAACAGCAGTCAAGTGGGAAGCACAGGTAGAAAAAGCTTTTTGTTTGCCGTAAGCTGAAGGAATTCCCAGGATAGTCATGAGGATAGACATGTAGGAGACAAGGATCACCACAATGGAGGTGACCAGGGTGAATCCCCCACAGCCAACAACCAGGATCTGGGTGACCCAGTGGTCTGAGCAAGCCAGTGCCAACAGTGGAGGGATGTCACAGAAGTGGGGAAGGACACGTGGTCGACAGAATGATAGTTGTGTGATGGAAGTTGTCACAAAAACCATGTTAATTAACCCACCAAGGTAGCATACTGCTACGAAGATGAGACAATGGACTCTAGACATTGTGACATAGTATATCAATGGATGACAGATGGCGGTATAGCGGTCATAGGCCATGGAAGCCAAAAGCTTGCATTCAGCAGAGGCAAAAATGATGAACAAGCCCATTTGAGTCACACATCCAAGTAAAGAAATAGCCTGCAACTTAGATAACAAATTTGCTAAAGTCTTTGGGATTGTTGTGGAAGAGAAAAAGATATCAAGAAAGGACAGATTATAGAGGAAAAAGTACATGGGGGTGTGGAGGCAGGGACTGACCCTGGTCAGGACTACCAGGCCTAGATTCCCCAATACAGTGACAATATAAACAATAAGGAAGGCTCCAAATAGCAGGATCCCAAGCTGAGGGCTGTCTGTCATGCCAAGAAGGATGAAGTCAGTCACTATAGGTGAATTCTCCATCACCATAAGCTGGATTTTATTCTTGACTACTTAAGAGCTCTTTAGACATGCTTTAAGTGAGGAAATAACAGAAAACTGGATGACATGGGTAAAACAATCCCACTCAAAACACATAAATTCACAACACTCCCCAACCCTTCCCTTCATCTATATTCTCACTTTAAATGCCTTCCCAAATAGTATCATCATTTCCCATATATAAAATTGAGACAGTGAAGATGGGAGAAAAAAGGGAAAGGAAAAAAGGAGATTAAGAAAATTCAGCAAGTAAAAGGAACACAGATAAAGACGAGAGTAAAGGCCTATTACGCAAAGGCACTTAATACTTGCTGAAGGAATGAATAAGTGAGGGAGAAAGAAAACAGGTGTCATAAAGCAGTGTTCTTTACTGATACAGGACTACAAACTCTTAGAAAATTTGGGGGTATGGAATTCCATCTCACTCTCCTCCACTTTTCCAAATCAAGCCCAAGGAATTATTGCAGAGGAGGTAACAGTGGAGTAAATAAGTCAACTTGTTTTAATTTTGACAGACAGCTCCCTCCCTTCAGTATTTGTAAAGTTATTTCAGAAACAGTGGAAGTCACCAATACTTACTATTCTCCTTGGTCGGTAGAGGGTTTTCTGGGACCTTGCTCATCTCTTCACTGCTAGATTGCTGCAGAAATGAAATGCCCTTAAATGGCCATCAGAAACTGAACTCAAGTCTGAAGGTATTATTTGGATCCTGTGAAAGAGCAACCAATGGATTTATGCAGCTCCTGGCTGATCATCACTTGACTGATTCCTTTAACCATGCCTCAGGAAAAGGTAAGGTAGCTGTGCAAAACTAAACGCAAATTTCATAAGGACTTCTTGGTCAGATCCATCTGAGCAGAGGATTGAGTCACAAAATGGTTGGAGTCAGATGGCACCGAGGCTAAGTGTGTGGACTCTGTCCCTCTCTCACGGTCACAGGATATCTCTAATGCTGGCTTGCTGCCTCACACAAATGCGTGGGTCTTGCCGTGGATGAGGCACTAGACAAGAAAAGGAATAAATCCATGAAGATCCATCCCCATTTATAGAATATAAACTAAATAAGAGCGCCTGTGGTTCACTGGACAGCCATCAGAGAGGGGTGTCTAGAAGGGATTCCTCTATTTGGTGAGAGGCTGGACAAGTAGACCTCAGAGGGCCCTCCCCATATTGGTTAAAAAGAAAGTTGTGTCTGTTTCAATTTACCAGAAAACACGGCTTCTTTATTGTTAATATGTCTGATTCTGGAGCCATATGGACCTATTTAAATCCTAGCTTAAAAGATCACTTGTTTTGTGACTTAGGACTTAACCTACCTACATTTTAGTTTACTAATGTGTAAAAGAAGGGCGCTAATAGGACCCATGTCATGGGGCAATAGTAAAGATTAAATGAAATATTGTTAAGTAAAGCACATGGTACATATTAGGTGCTCACTGAATTCTATTTTCTTCATTGTTTCATGAACACTCCTATATATGTATTTACCACTTTTTTCCTCTTCATTTCACCAAATGGAAGCAGAGATATTGTGTGTATACACTTTTATCATTTTAGATCAACAGAAGTGAACCTTAGAGAGACTGGTTGAAGTATAATCTCCATGCACCACTCTCTAATCACACACACACACACACACACACACACACACACACACACACACACACACAGAAAGTTTGGCCAGAGCAGAGGAAAGAAGCATCTTTTACTTGTGTTGGTAATTCACTCCTTGTTGCCTACCCAAATTGTTGGAGTTCACTCCTGCTGCTGCTGCTGCTGCTGCTTAGCACGGCAGCCTGTCCAGCGGAACGTTCAACTACTTTATACCTCCAAATGGGGAATCTGGAAGATAAAATACTAGGCTGAATGGAGATAATGGAAATACTGCTTTCAGAGACAAAAGACATGAGTTCTAGTCCTAGCACTAATTTGTATTTGTCTTTCAGTGGAAAGTGCTTAATCTTTTTGAGCCCCATATTTTCTCATTGCGAAAATGAAAAAAACAATACTCGCTATGCTTCTCTTTTAGGGTTGGCATGAGGATCAAATAAGATAATGAATGTGAAAGCATTCTGTAAACTCTGAAGGGTGATACAATACACATGGAATGGATCCCTATTATTATTCCATCATGGAATGTGGGAGAGGGAGGAGGAATGCGTCAATACGATCATTTTCTGCTGCCTGCTTCATCTCCTGCTTACAGAGCTGCACTCTGCCCTCCCACTCACCCCCTACACACACATCATCTGCTCTGCCTCTCCACTGTGAAAGTTTAAACCTGTGAAGTTTTAAACAAACATCTCTTGGCTGTTCACGTATCTCGAACCATAAAAAGACAGCTTTTCAATGTTAGTTTCACATTCTTGTATCATTTTTTAAATTTCCCATTTTAGAATAACTTTATTCCTTGATGTCTGCATGTATTGTAGACTTTCAATAAATGTTAGTTGAATGAATAAGTGACTCTCTATTAATCTTTAGAACATGGTGAAATCTTTTTTGCTTAAAATAAGATTGAATTGCTTTTTCTCCCCAAAGGAAATAAACATACAAAATTAAGACTTTAATAAGGAAATGGTTTGATACACCCCATAAGCACATGCCACTGCATTAACTAGTGTCAATATAGCAGCCAGAATGGGTGTATTATTAACTTGGCTAATGTGTCTTGGATATTTACTTATTGGAAATAATCAGGCACTCCTTTTATTTGTTGAAGAAGTAACCTTTCATGCTTAAAAAAATGCATATATTCATTTATCCCTAGAGGCATGTAAATGTACAGTACCGGTGCCTTAAAATTTTCTCTTGGTTACCCCTCTTTTCAGTTCTTTAATTATGTAGTTCACTGGGAATCTTGCAAAAATAGCATAACATCTAGAATTTAAATAAAGGCTCACTTATTTACTTATCCAATAAAATTTCTTGAGTGTTTAATAAATGTAGTCTTCAAAATGATCATGTATTCCAACCCACCAATTTTCAGATGAAGAAACAGAAGTCCAAAAATGTTAAGTGACTTGTCTAAAGTCTCACAATGAATTAGTGGCAGAGCTGGTGTTGGAACTCACATCTCCTGACCTAATTCAGTGACCTTTCCACATCCCTATCTTGCTTTCCCCTTTATTTGTTTTTTGAAATTATTCTGGATAGGACTTTCACCTTTGGTATAATCATTCTTCCAGTAACAGACGAAAGGTCATTTTCTGTCACTGTATTTGAGCTATATGATCTTGAGCAAACAGCTTGCTCTTTTTGGGTCCTGGTTTCTTCATCAATAAAATGAAGTGGCTAGAGTAGGTGGTTTCTGAAGCTCTTTCCAGCTTCGAGTTCTAATTTTCCATGGCTCTGTGAGTCAAACTGTACACAGAGCATTGGTCATTCTCAATATCTGATGGAGGGAAGCTGAAAGAGCAAATTTCTGTAGTTTCATGAGTCTATGCTATACAAACCACTCCACCCTACTCTGCTCTTTCAGCCCTCACAGTGCCAGAAATGTCATATTGGTGTTTGGTCTCTGTGCAAGGCACTGAGGACCATTGAGGCAAGAGTATGGGAGGGATGTTTCTAAACTTCCTAACTACCTTAAGGCAGAAAGAGCTTGGTCAAAGATCTGGTCAAAGTGTCCAGGTTATGTCATATCCTAACCCTATGGTCTTGGACAAACTGCTCAGTCTCTCTGCCATCAATTGCCTTTATCTAAAATGGAAATAATATTACCTAACTTAAATGACTATTTTGAAGATTAAATAAGAAAAAATATATATAGTGCTTAACAGATATTTAGGTGTTTCATAAATGTTGATTTTCTTTCTCCTTAAAAGTCCATTTTTTATTTTACGATTCTATATATATGAGATGCCCAGAATAGGCAAATCTATAGAGACAGAAAGTAGATTAGTGGTTGCCAGGGTCTTGAAGAGTGGTGCAGGAATAGTAGATATGGGTTTTTGTTTGTTAGTTTTTTGATTGGCTGTCTGATTTAATTAAAATTTATAAACTTACACTTTTAATATGTCTAAAACTTTTCACACAAGTCTCACTCTTTCAGGTCTTTTTTTTGGTGATAAAAAAATTCTAAAATTGATTGTGGTGAAAGTTGCATAATTCTGAATATACTAAAAACTATTGAATGCACACACATTTATACGTGTGAAGTGTATGGTATGTGAGTTATACCTCAATAAAGCTGTTACCAACAAAAGGAATACTGAGGGAAAAAAAGTCCATTATACATCGGTCATTCTTGGCTGCATCTAAATTCTTCTACTGACCTGCAGCAGAGAGTACTGATAAGTACTGAACGAGATCATCAATTTAAAAGTACTTTGAAAAATTTAACAATGACAAAAGAAATGTATTCAAAGGAAATGATAAAATCATAATTGGAGAAATAAAGAAAGAAATGAATAAATGGAAAGACAACTTGCTCCCAACTGGCAAGGCTAAAATGTAAGAAAGATGAGACTCTTTAAGTTAATATACAGATTTAATGCAATATCAATTAAAAATTCTACAGGATATTTTACATACCATGACATATTTATAGTGAAATTCATCTGGAAGAATAAGAAGACAAAAATGCCAAAAAATATTATTCTAAGTAATGATAGTAGATAGTCTCTCAGGTTTTAAACCTTATTACAAAGCCATATATATATAAGACCATCTGGCATTGGGTTAAAAACAAAATTGATCAATGAAATAACATATTTTAGAGAAAGAGAGCTAAAATCACAAAAATGTCTCCAGTTGGCTAGAAAGAACACAAACAGACACACACACACACACACACGCACACACACACACTAAAGGGAGCACTAACAAATAAATATTGTTGGGAAAACTATGTATCCATGAAAAGAGAAGTGAATTTGGATATGTACTTTACATTGTATGTTTTAATAAATCTAGAGGGATCAAAAAGTTAAACATAAAAATCTAAACCTCAAGAAACTAGAAAGAAAAAAAAAACAGCA